GTCCACTTTATGATCTTTTGAATCTGAACTGTACCTGAATTGACCTTTGACAGCTGTGTTTTTTCTAGATATGTAGTGTTAGTGAAAACAGCACATATTCATGCCAACATCACAGGTGCCACCTTTATAAAACTCTTCTTTACTGTAGTCATATCCTGATCTGCATTTCCTGCTGCGATTCTGATTACAAACCGTCCCATGGAGTCTGTTGTTTCTCTGCCTGTTGCATCCCCCCAATATATGCTCATTGCTCATGATTTATGAGTCAGTTTATGGAATACACTTTAATTTTCTGATTTATAAGACTCCCTACCCTACAGAAAGAACGACAGGACTATCAAGGTACTAAATCACTCATTAATTATATACAAAATCACAGTCTGTATTCTTCCGTTTAAAATGTCAGGATAAATTATGGCATGCTGTTCATTACGCAGATATATTTGAACTACACCATTTTTTCACCCCAGATATCCCACCCAATACAACAGTATACAAATTGTTAGTTATATAATTTCTCGGGTCAGCACTCATTTCTTCAGGAAAAGTGCCTCCCCAGACCATCACTGACCCACCACCAAAACAGTCATGCTGAGCGATGTTACATGCAGCATAACTTTCTCCACGGCTTCTCCAGACCCTCTTACGTCATATGTGCTCAGGGTGAACCTGCTCTCATCTGTGAAAAGCACAGGGCGCCAGTGGCAGACCTGCCAATTCTGGTGTTCAATGGCAAATGCCAATTGAGCTCTATGGTGCCGCACAGTGAGCACAGGGCCCACTAGAGGATATTGGGCCCTCAGGCCACCCTCATGAAGTCTGTTTCTGATTGTTTGCTCAGAGACATTCACACCAATGGCCTGCTGGAGGTCATTTTGAAGGGCTCTGGAAGTGCTCATCCTGTTCCTCCTTGCACAAAGGAGCAGATACCGGTCCTGCTGATGGGTTAAGGACCTTCTACGGCCCTGTCCTGCTCTTCTAGAGTAACTGCCTGTCTCCTGAAATCTCATCCATGCTCTTGAGACTGTGCTGGGAGACACAGCAAACCTTCTGGCAATGGCACGTATTGATGTGCCATCCTGGAGGAGTTGGACTGCCTGTGTAACCTCTGTAGGGTCCAGGTATCGCCTCATGCTACCAGTAGTGACATTGATCCTAGCCAAATGCAAAACTAGTGAAAAACAGTCAGAAAAGATGAGAAGGGTAAACAATGTCAGTAGCCTCCACCTGTAAAACCATTCCTGTTGTGGGGGTTGTCTCATTGCTGCCCATCTAGTGCACCTGTTGTTTATTTCATTAACACCAAAGCAGCTGAAACTGATTAACAACCCCTTCTTCTACTTAACTGACCAGATACATATCCCGGAGTTTCATTGACTTGGTGCTATACTCTGATTAAAAAGTGTTCCTTTAATTTTTTGAGCAGTGTATTTACTGTATACACTATATTGCCAAAAATATTGGGACGCCTTTACACGCTCATGAACTTTAATGGCATCCCAGCCTTAGGGGTTGATTTACTAAAGGCAAATAATATTGCACTTTTGCAAAGTGCAGTTGCACTTTGCAAGAGCAGTTGCTCCAGAGCATTAATAAATGAAGCTCTGCTGACTTCCATCATGCCATCACGTGCAAGCCAATGTGCTTTTTTTTTCAGTTTTTCTTGCACGTGATTGGGTATTCCTTGCAAAGTGAATCTTTATCTCATTTACAAAACTCTGGAGCAATTGCACTTGCACAGTGCAACTGCATCTTGTATAGTGCACAGTCTATTTGCCTTTAGTAAACAAACCCCACAGTCTGAAGGGTTCAGTATTGAGTTGGCTCACCCTTTGCAGCTATAACAGCTTCAACTCTTCCGGGAAGGCTGTCCACAAGGTTTAGGAGTGTGTCTATGGCAATGTTTGACCCAGGGGCGGACTGACAACTCATGGGGCCCTTGTGTTCTCGCCCACACCCAAAAAAGCCTATGAAAAAGCCAATGAAAGGTACTAGGGGCATCTCATGGGGCCCCCTACTGACCCCGGGCCCTCGGGCAGTGCCCGAGTGCTCGAATGGTCAGTCCTGCCCCTGATTTTAACCATTCTTCCAGAAGCGCATTTGTGAAGTCAGAAACTGATGTTGGACGAGAAGGCCTGGCTCGCAGTCTCTGCTATAATTCATCCCAAAGGTGTTCTATTGGGTTGAGGTCAGGACTTTGCAGGCCAGTCAAGTTCCTCCACCCCAAACTCACTCATCCATCTTTTTAGGAACCCTGCTTTGTGCACTCCCACATGGAAGAAAAATATATTTGAAAAATATATTTTTAAAATATTCTTCCCAAATATATTGACATATATTTGAAATACTACAATTTTGGCCATATTCAATATATTTAAAAAAAAAAATAAAATAAAATAAATATATATATATATATATATATATATATATATTGCATTTGAAATGCGTATTTTATGTATTAAAAAATATATGAAGCATATTTTTAAGAATATATATTTTTTAAATATATTGTGCATATTTTTTTTTTAAATATAAAAAAGTAATTTTAACATTTATTTTTTATATATATTTGTAGCTGCGTTACAAAAATGGAGATAAAATGTATTTTTGAAGACATACAGTATATTTGAAAATGTATTTTTTAAAAATATTTTTCATATAGTTTGTAATAAAAACACATTTCAACATACAGTATATATATATATATATATATATATATATATATTGTTTTTTTAAATATATTGAATACGGCCAAAATTGTAGTATTTCAAATATATGTCAATATATTTGGGAAGAATATTTTAAAAATATATTTAAGATATATTTTTCTTCCATGTGGGCTGGTGCGCAGTCATGTTAGAACAGGAAGGGGCAATCCCCAAATTGTTCCTACAAAGTTGGGAGCATAAAATTTTCCAAAATGTCTTGGTATGCTGACACCTTAAGAGTTCCCTTCACTGGAACTAAGGGGCCAAGCCCAACACCTGAAGAACAACCCCACATCATAGTCCCCCTCCACCAAACTTTACACTTGGCACAATGCAGTCAGGCAAGTACCATTCTCCTGGAAACCGCCAAACCCAGACATTGCCAGACAAAGAAGAGTGATTTGTCACTCCAGAGAACCCATTTCCACTGCTCTAGAGTCCAGTGGTGGCGTGCTTTACACCACTGCATCCGACACTTTGCATTGCACTTGGTGATGTAAGGCTTGGATGCAGCTGCTCGGCCATGGAAACCCATTCCATGAAGCTCTCATGCACTATTGTTGGCTAATCTGAAGGCCACATGAAGTTTGGAGGTCTTTAGCTATTGACTCTGCAGACAGTTGGCGACTTCTGCGCACTGTGTGCTTCAGCATGTGCTGACCCCGCTCTGTCATTTTTACGTGGCCTACCACTTCGTGGCTGAGTTGCTGTTGTTCCCAGTTGCATCCACTTTGTTACAATATCACTGTCCCCACAAAGTGATCTCTACGCACTGTTGTGCTAATCTGAAGGGCACACGAAGTTTGGAGGTCTTTAGCTATTGACTCTGCAGACAGTTGGTAACTTCTGTGCACTGTCCCTGCTTTGTCATTTTACGTGGCCTACCACTTCATGGCTGAGTTGCTGTTGTTCCCAGTTGCTTCCATTTTGTTATAATACCACTAACAGTTGACCGTGGAATATTTTAGCAGCAAGGAAATGTCACAGATGGACTTATTACACAGGTTGCAACCTATCACAGTACCATGCTTGAATTCACTGAGCTCCTGAGAGCGACTAATTCTTTCAAAAACGTTTGCAGAAAGAAGCACCAAAACGTACCTTACGCACCACACCAAAATGTGTTAAAATAACCTGTGCCAAATTGTGCATTAAAGTGCCAAAATGTGTGTTTAAAAAAATGCACGTTAAAAAAATACAGCATGTAAAAAAAACAATGGCAAATTTTTGCGTACATAATGCCAAAATGTACACTAAAAAGGGGCCAAAATGTACATTCAAAAAATGTGCAAAAAAACTGAGTTAAAATAAGTGGCAGTGGTCAGTGTTTATTATTTTTATGTAATTACATGTTATTTTTAACTTTGGTTTCACTTTTTAAACTCGACACACAATCTCTCTCATGAGATCACAGGCAGCCCTCCCCCTTCTAAACAGATCTCAGCTGTTCTCAGAGGAAAAACTATTCTTCTAAGAACAAATGTTTCCTGTTTCATAAACAGGGTGCCAGAGGAGATCATTTTTCTCTGAGAACTGATGAGAACTGAAATGAGATAATTTATGTGTTTAATAAACGTACACCTTAGATGGCAAACAAGCTTCCTGGACCAGTCAAAGAGCTAAATGGTCGATTCTGTGTATAACTAGGAAGCAAAAGCAGTAGTGCTGGGGACACCCTACTGTTAGGACTGTATAACAAAAACACACATAATTAACCACTTGCCTACAGGGCACTTATACCCCCTTCCTTACAAGGCCCATTTTCAGCTTTCAGCGCTGCCGCACTTTGATTGACAATTGCGCGGTCATGCAACATTGTACCCATATGAAATTTTGATCATTTTTTTCTCACAAATAGAGCTTTCTTTTGGTGGTATTTAATCGCCACTGGGCGCTTTCTTTTTGCGCTATAAATTAAAAAAGTGTAAAATATTTGAAAAAAAAAAAAAAAAGTTTCTTTGTTTCTATTATAAAATTTTTCAAACAGGTAATTTTTCTCCTTCACTGATGTGCGTTGATGAGGCAGCACTGATGGGCACTGATAGGCGGCACTGATGGGCACTGATAGGCAGCACTAAAGGGCACTGATAGGCAGTACTAATGAGGTGGCACGGATAGGCGGCACTGATAGGCAACACTAATGAGGTGTCACGGATAGGCGGCACTAATATGCAGCACTGATAGGCGGCACTGATAGGTGACACTGATGATGGGTACTGATAGATGGCAGTGACTGGCATTACTGCTGGGCACTGACTGGCGGCACTGACTGGCACAACCGCTGGGCACTGACTGGTGGCACTGACTGGCAGCACTGCTGGGCTGCACTGGTGGGTGGCACTGGTGGGCAGCACTGGTGGGTGGGCACAGGTGGGTGGCACTGGTGGTCACAGGTGGGTCACTGGTGGGCACAGGTGGGTGGGCACAGGTGGGTGGCACTGCTGGGCACAGGTAGGTGGCACTTCTGGGCACAGGTGTGTGACACTGCAGAGTGGCACAGGTGGGTGCACTGCTGGGCACAGGTGGGTGCACTGCTGGGCACAGGTGGGCGGAGCTAGTGGGCGCACTGCTGGGCACAGGTGGGCGGAACTTGTGGGTGGCACTGCTGGGCACCGATCATCAGGGCACTGATCATTAGTGCCCTGATAATCGGTGCCAATCCTCGCTCTGACAACTGCCGGTTCTCGGCAGTACTTTCCTCACGATCTGACAGCGTGAGGAAAGTGCAGCCGAGAACCGGCACTTGCATTTCCCTGTGATCAGCGTGTCATTGGACACCGCTGATCACGTGGTAAAAGGCCGGTATGATTGGCCTTTTACCACATCTCGTGATCAGCTGTGTCCGTAGGACACAGCGATCACGGAGATCGCCGGGTGCGCGCCCCCTGGGGTGCGCAGGAGAGAGCGCGTTCTGGGGGGACATCATATGACGTCCACCCAGAACTGGCCGGCCGCAGTGAAGCCGTCATTCGGTTATCTGCGGTCGGCAACTAGTTAAATATAATAATTTTTTACAGAATTTTTTTTATTATAAACCAGCAGTGATCATACAGCTTCATCACTTTTTCTACGAATACAACTGTTTTAACATATGTATATGGCAACCAGAAAAGGACACAATGGTCAAACTTTTTTAAACATCAAAAAATACAATAGGCTAGATGACAACAGCTACAGGAAGGGCCATATTATTCAAAACATCTCAATAAATAATAGGCCAGATGTTAGTGACTATAAGAAAAGCTTGAAGCTAATAGTTATAAGGGTAATCTGGTTGAAAAAAGACACTAGTCCAGGGGTGGGCAAACTTTTTGACTTGAGGGCCGCAATGGGTTCATATATTGGACCCGGGGGCCGGACCAAGAGTAGATGAATGATGTGTATGTGTCATCCATAATAAGTATAGTAATATTCCCCCATAGTAAGCATAGTAATTCATCCCCCATATAGTAATTCATCCCCCATATAGTAATTCATCCCCCATATAGTAATTCATCCCCCATAGTAATTCAACCCCCACATAGTAATTCATCCCCATAGTATTCATCCCCCATAGTAATTCAACCCCCATAGTAATTCATCCCCCATAGTAATTCATCCCCCATATAGTAATTCATCCCCCTATAGTAATTCATCCCCCCTATAGTAATTCATTCCCCATATTAATTCATCCCCCATATTAAGTCCCCAAGTCCCCCCTGTGTCAATTCACTTACCTTTGCTCCGCGCGTTCCTCTCCCCGTGTTCCCGCGCCTTTCCGGTCTTCAGGGCGGACTGTGAGAGGAGCCTAGCTCCCCTCACGTTCCTCACGCTGCCCCGCCTACACACATTCTGACAGCCGATGTTTGCCAGAGGGCCGGATTAAAAGGTCCGCCGGGCCGTATACGGCCCGCGGGCCGTAGTTTGCCCATTGCTGCACTAGTCCATCCAGTTCAACCAACATAAAAAAAAAAACTGCACTTATTGAAACCCACCAGTATCCCCTGCAGCTGACTAGTACCAGAGGGGATTAAACAGCACACATTCTCTGAGATCCTTAGGGATGTCTGTACTCACAAGGCCCAATTGACACTGGACGCCTTCCTCCATGATATCAGACCATATCTTCAGGTGACAGACCCTCAGTAACCGTATCAGAATTTGGGTATCAGCAATTTAGGCCCTCAGGTAGCCCACCTGAGTCCCACGGCAGCAGCTGCCTGGGAGAGTAACGTGCCCTCCTCCAGGCTTTGGCAGTCCTAACCAAGAAAGGCCCAGAACTCAGTGTGCCCAGTGAATATATACAGTTACCCAGCATGGTTTGGAGCCCCCCACTCTGGGATAGGCTGAGGCTGTATCAATATTCATGTTGCTATCTGCATAGCTCCACACCTATCATTCAGAACTTTCTGTAGTAACTTGGATACAGAGGAAGCTAGGCAGAATAGCAGCACTTGAGCACAAAGAGCAGATCATAGCTAAATCAGTACAGTGAGCTAACTATACTTTTGCTTAGCAACAATTAGAGTCATTCTGCTTAGAGTGACAACTAAATTTGATCAAAAAAATATCCAACCTAGCTATCCAATCCTAGCATCTACCTAGGAGGGAGCTACATCAGCATGCACAGTTTATGCATTGGTCAGACACTACTGCCGAGGTCATAAGTGTAATACAACCCCCATAGGAGTCGCTAGAGATTTGGGTCCCCCTATAGTCCTGCACAGCCAGGCAACATGCATCTTTACATAGACTTGCATCCAGAGTCAGAAATCAGTACCTGAGATTTGGTTTTGTTATTTTCATTTAGGGGATTTGAACTGGGATAGGGTTAGGGGTGTATAGGATGGACAAGGAAACTGATAAACTCAGGACAATTTCCTGGAACAGTCTCTACTGCAACACAGTCTCTGCTGAAGAGCCAGCCAGCATCTCCTAATGTACCACCCCAGACCCTAGATGAAGTCCTTTTCCTTCACCCAGCAATCTGGAGGTATCCCTGAACAAGGGATCCGGTTCCTGTCCCTTTAAGAAAGAGACAGTCACTAGCAGGTGGTGAATCTGGTTTCCCACCAGAGTGCTCCTTTCCCTATCTGCCCAGAGGGTACAGGGTACTCACTCAGATCCTCTCCTGTACTGCAGGTGGGTTGGTGGCTGCTACCAGGCCTATTAACTGGGTTGCTCCTTCCCTGCTGTACAGGTGGTCCTCACTCTGGGGGCCAGTGAAACTCTGAGCTTTCTTCCTTTCCAGCTCTGCTGCATGTAGGTGGGCCCCTCACTTCATCTGGGCCTCCACCCAGGATCCTGCCTTCAGCCTCACATCATACTCTCTGTCTTCCAACTGAGCTCTCCTGCTGCTGATCAGGCTCCAACACTTTTGTCCTGGCCCCTCGCCAAGCCTCCTGTTGGGGATTGGCCAAGATCCCTCAAGAGTGCAAACCAGACGCTCCTCAGATCCAACCACTGCCTTTAGGGCCTTCCTCCAAAGCTCTAGAGTAGGGGGAATTCCAGAGGGGCTGGCCTGCAGAGTCTTTCAGCTCCTGACCACAATTTTACCTTCTGACTATTACACCCAGGCTGCTACTCAGCCCTCCTCTCTAACAATCAGGACTCTAGCTCCTCCTAGCTAACTAGGCGCTACATAAGCATACTTGGAACATTTAGGAATTTAGGAAAGAGTGGGGCTTATGCTGGGATACACAATACGATACACTGAAATGGAGTCAATGTTTGCAGTGTGCTTAGTGCATCACAGTGATAGGTTTAAAGACAGAACACACAAAAATTCAAAATGGCCCTAATGGCACTTTTCTGACATCAGTTCCCTTAAGAACTACCTGTGCCTAATTAGAGCAACAATTTGCACTAGTGTTGGTAAGATGACTGACACTGGCAGAAAGTTCAGGTAGTTTTTACTACCACCACTTTAAGAATCTATTCCTTTGGCAGCTAAATCATTATTATTTTTTTTTAATCAAATAATTTTTATTAAGCAAAAAAATTATTTTTTTACATCTTCACATACAAAAAAAGGACAAACAAAAGCCCCACTTTTTGTTTGTTGGTAAGATGACTGACACTGGCAGAAAGTTCAGGTAGTTTTTACTACCACCACTTTAAGAATCTATTCCTTTGGCAGCTAAATCATTATTATTTTTTTTAATCAAATAATTTTTATTAAGCAAAAAAATTATTTTTTTACATCTTCACATACAAAAAGGACAAACAAAAGCCCACTTGTATTACAGAAAAATAACAAAACAAATCCCTACCCTTCCACCCGCCCTCCTGGCCCTTGGGTCTCAAAACCAAAAACCCAATACAACTGTCAGCAATACAACTTCAAGAACAACTGATATGCCGCGTATACTCTAATGTTACACAATATGTGTGTAATCATAACAAAACAGTATAATAAGTGATCTTATGATATATACGGGATTAGACAAAAAAAATAGAAAAACAACATGATTTGCAGGTGTGAAATTGACGACATGTTTAACGTTGAAAGTGATATAATATTTTTTTTGCTTCTGCTGTGTGATGAGACACCTGGCTAACAGGTGGGAAGCCTCACTTTCGTCATTCACCGTGTGTGCTGCTAGTAATACAGAGACATGTCAGAGCTTACTGAGCTTCAAAGAGGGCAAATTGTTGGTGCCACTTAGCTGGTGCCTCTGTGACTGAAGTTATCAGCAGGCACTAGAAGAGCAGGCTGTGGGATCGTGATGATGGCATCACTCACTGCCACATTGCACATGTGATGGATGGTGAGCTGGGTCACATTCACACAGACACGAGACATCAGAGTCAGATATTACCTTCCTCCGCCCCCGCTGATAAATGGGAAGAGAAGGGCTGGAACTCCACAGCGATCAGCAGCCACCAGCTGGCATGCAGTAAGAGACTGAGTCTGGAAGGAACACCAGAAGGAGCGGCAGCTCAGCCGCTACACTGGCCCCAGACAACCAGCATCTTCCTCCCCTCTGCCATCCCACCCCTCAGCTGAAGGATCATTCGTGACATGGCAGCTTCCCACACAGAGAGAGTGCTGACCTGTGTTGCACCCAGGCGGACCTAGGTGGCAGTACGCCCTAGGCGGCTGCCTAGTTTGCCTAGCATAACCACCAGCCCTGGTTATGGCAGCATATACAATTTCCAGGAAAATGGAACTTTATAAAGAGTTTTGAACAGAGAAAATACTTTTCTTTACCTTTTTTCTGACCTCCGGAACGGATTAATTGGTGTTTAATGCATTCCTATGGGAAATCGTGTTTCAGTTTACAAATTTTTTGCAATACGAAAAGTCCCACAGAGCGCATTAAATTCGTAAACTGAGGTACGCCTGTACTAGCCTCACAGAGGGTGTTAAACTGTACCTTCAACTTTATTGAAATCACTTTTTTAAAGTCTCTGCACTAAACATAAATGCTTTAGTCCCATAAGAACGACACCGCTCCAGGGGCGGACTGACCATTAGAGCACTCGGGCACTGCCCGAGGGCCAAGGGTCAGTAGGGGGCCCCATGAAATGCCCCTGGTACCTTTTATAGGCTTTTTAGGGTGTGCTTTGAGTGTGGTCAAGGACACAGGGGCCCCATGATCCTCTATTGCCCGGGGGCCCCATGAGTTGTCAGTCCTCCCCTGCACGGCTCTGCTCAGATATCTCCCAGAGCCACCATCCGTTCCCCTGCCTGAAAACTCCACACCGGAAGTGACGTCAACGTGCATCAACTTTGCACAGGATATAATAAATTCTGAACATTTGAAAAAATTTTGTGTTTTTGCTTAATACTAGAGTTAATTATGA